ATCAGACAACAAAAGATATAGTTATTAATATTTTCAACACTTCACCCTTTATATGCACACTCCCTTCTAATAAACAACTTTCCTTGTACCAACCTTAACTTCCCTTCCTTCATATGAGCTTAATCCAACTTGTTAAACATCACAATTCATTGTTCTTTATTACTACATTCTCTTGAATGGAGCCTCTGACTTTATTTCACTCTAACAAGAGATAATATGAATTTAATCTAATTTATTATACCTTAGTCTGTTCTACGTAATGTTAAGCAACGTTTGGAGTCCATATCCAGGTGCCTTGTTGCTCTGCTGTTTCGCTTTTTTATTTTCTTCAGAATCTTGCTCCGAGGGCACAGCTATGAAACTTCTAACGTCTGGAACAAACTTGACGTAAGCGTCAACTCAAGGCCATGGTTAATAACAAGCGCTCTACGAGACCACTTTATAACAACTATAAACTTAATAAGTTAGGAAGCATGCTATGCTCCAACAAATGTTATAATTTGTAGATCATGCCTGTAAAAATGGCGTGTACCTGCTCATGCAGAAATATATTATTATTATATATTGTTCCATCTCTAGCCTAAGCTTGTTCTCCATCATGAATTGGTAATTGTTGCAACGCAATGAGTCGGTATAGACAATGCTGTGACTTCTACGTAAGATCTTTATAGATCAGGCAGTTATATCAGGATAAACCTACAATTTTACGAATAGGTCTATTATTAGAGCAGTACTATTGTAGTGAACGAGAACACTAATGGGGATGATCGAATGTATGTGACAACAAATTACGGAACTAGTTATTAAATTCTAACAATTATACAGTGAATCTTTAATTTGCAAAATAACAATCCATCATATCAAACTTGACCGTTCCTGTTGCAAACATAAATTGATTATCTGTCCTTTCATTATTCATGAGTTTCCGTAGAAATTCCACTGTGTTCCTGCTCTTCCTTTCTTGATCTTCTCCCATCTTCTGCTGCCAGACATTACGTTCCTTACTTGCGTCATATACTACTTATATCTACATAAGTAGCACACACCACACTATTAACATAGTAGAACATAATTATACATGAAGTACAACATAGTCAAAAAAGAAAACGTACAATGAAAATTTCCGTTTCTCGCAAACTTCATCGTTCTTTTTGTCGTCTTTTCCAGCCGTCCTGGAAAAGAAAAAAGTATGTAAGTGCATGTCGAAATACAAATGTATGCGCGTAAAAACACAAAGCGGGTAACAAAATGGAAAATAAACTCATGCTCACGTAATAGGGTAAAAAAAGGATTTTTACATGGACTTTTTGATTTTTTGAAATAAAAATAAACATATATAAGCATATCAAATTTGTTTTTTTAACTATATATAGTACAAGGGAAAATCGAGACGATATAAAATGTCAACCAGTATCTTACGTGCAGCGATCGTTCAAATGTTCTGGTAATCTTACTCCTCTTCCAGGACGTGTTGTTTTAAGTTTATTTTCTGCTACCGCCGAAGTATCATCGTGTGTGTTGGCTGTCGGTTGAGTTATTGTAGTTGCAGGAGTCGTGTCGTGCGACTGTACTGAAAGAAAATCGATGTGGATATGATTTCCTTCTAAATAGGCTGCTTCGAGGCAATCGATGCTGATGCAATCGTTGGTTCCGTTCTTATCAACTATATAGTACTTCGTTTTGTGTTGAAGAACTTTGAAGGGTCCTTTGTATGCTGAATCGACAGGTCGTCGATGCGGGTCTCGACATACGAAGACGTGTGTACTATATTGTAAGTCATGTTGAACGAAAACATCAGTTGATTGCGGTAGAGTGGAAACAGGTTTAACTGAACGCATTGCGTTTGTAAGCCTGTTTGTGTAGGAAGTCAGATCCATGTTCATTGAAGAAGATGAAGGATCCACAAATTCTCTTGGAAGTCGAAGTGTCGTTCCATAAACGAGTTGAGACGCAGTGTATCCAATGTCAGACTTCACAGCATTGCGAATACTTAGTAAGACGAGTGGGAGAGCGTCAGTCCACTGAGAAATGTTTGCGGCTGATAGTGAAGCTTTTAGTTGTCGGTGAACGCGTTCTACTAACCCGTCTGCTCGTGGGTGGTGAGTGATTCCTAACGGTGTGGTCAGAAAACGGAAAAGTTCGGATTCGAACTGGCGTCCACGATCTGTAGTGATGGTTGTTGGGTAGACGAAGTTTGCTACCAATCGTTCGACGAAGGCGCGGGCCACTGTTTCAGCAGTGATGTCTTTGATAGGTACTGCTTTTGGCTATCGAGTGAAACGGTCTACGCAGGTTAAAAGATAAGAGTATCCATTGAATCTGTTAGAGGTCCTACCAAATCCAGATGAACATGGTCGAAACGAGAGTCAGGAATTTTGAAAGAGCCCAAGAGACATTTGTTTTGTCTAATAACCTAAGAGTGTTGGCAGATTACATAAGAATGTGCCAACTCCCTCACGTCTTTAGTCATACCAGGCCAGCAAAACTTTTCTACTATAAGCTTGATTGTTGCACGAACACCTGGATGAGAAGTAAGGTTTCCTTACCTGTTCCCATCTGTTTAATGCTCAGTTTAAGGGTTGTTGAGGATAACTGGTGCTGAAGATCAGTGCCTTTTTTTGAAGCTGGGCGAGTTTTAGAAGGTCGATGCCTTGGAAACTATTCAAGGAAGTTATTCGAGACAAGGCGTCCGCGACTACAGTGTTTGCTCCAGAAATGTGTTGAATATCTGAAGTAAACTGTGAAATGTAGTCCAGTTGTCGAGACTCACGAGGTAAGTACTTGTCTTAAGAAGAGCTTAAAGAGAAAGTAAGAGGTTTATGATCGGTGAAAATACTGAATTCTCAGCCTTCAATGGAATGCTGACAATGCCATACAGCACAGTACGTAGCTAGGAGTTCCCTATCGAATGTGCTGTACCTCGATTCAGTGTCTAGCAACCGTCTAGAGAAAAATGCCAAAGGTTGCCAGGAGTGGTTAACCTACTGTTGTAAGACTCCTCCGATTGCTGAGACGGATGCGTCTACTGTGATACTAATGGGTGCTTCAGTGTCCTGGTGTGCAAACATTGTCGCTTTAATGACAAGTTATTATTATTAATATTATTCACAAACATCTTATGAGTACGTCAGTGTTGTGAAGAGACCATTTCGAGTTTCTTCAAAAATGTATTAATTCACAAGTTTCAGCAGTGTTAGCATTATGTTTGACATCTCTGAAAAAAGATAGTAATAATAATAGAGTAATAATAAATCATTTATTTATTTATTTATGGCTTTATTCAATATTATACTTTGGTACAATATAGAATTCTCAGCACAAAAAATATTTCAACAAGTTTCCTTTAAAAAAAGGTTAATAAAACAAATTAAAAATAAATCTGAAAAAGCTGTACAACTTTTCAGTTAGAGTCATGTTAAGAATGCAGATTATTGATTGGGGTAACTCTAACAACCTGTTCGTCACAGAGTACATTTACTAGGTAAGGTATTATAGAACTTTTATACTTTTGCTTGCGTGCTTGGATTTTAATGTAATTTCGTCTCGTTCTACCAGAAGATATACAAGGAGAAAGATATGAGTGAAGGGGATGGTTAGTATCTGATAAAATAACACCTGCCAGGAGTTTGCATGACTTTAGATGTCTATCCACAACCATATTAATTATGATCTCGAAGGATTCACCACACACCTTGCTAACTGCCTTCGGCACTCTTTGCAGTACAGCAAAGTCTTTTCTCAAAAGCCGGGAAAGAATAATGGAGAACAGTAATGAATAATAGGTAATATGCAAGAATTGACAAATTGTAGGAGTAAATGACGAGTGATCCCAAGAACATGCAATCTCTTAATGTAGTAAGTCAGATGGAAAACCTTCTTCGATAACAATGAAACGTGTGAAGACCAAGAAAGATCAGAGAAAAAGGTAACACCAAGATAATTGACCGTCGACACTGTGTTTATCAATGAGTCGCCAATGGCACAAGCATTATGAGATCTCAAAATGGTGTTTAAGTGCCAATCATGTCTCATGCTAAAGTTAACAGCTTGACATTTAGACGGATTAAGTATGAGGCCATTAACAAGAGACCAACTATCAATACGAGATAAAAACTCATTCATTTCTATAGGATGTGAAGAGGAAGAGATAGGCATACAAACAGTGAGATCATCTGTATATTTGACAAAAGTGTTTGCTGCGGAAGATGGCGGATCATGCATAAAAAAAGAGAAAAGAAAAAGTGAAAGAACAGCTCCTTGTGATACACCTTCATAAGACACCAGAGACTCTGAACACTTGACTCCAAACACTGTGTACTGTTCCCTTCCATAGAAGTAGGAACATAGCCAGTTGGTTATCCAGCTGTCAGTGTTGACGCTGATTAACTTGTTAAGTAAACGTTGTCTTGATATAGAATCAAAAACAGAAGTATAATCCAGGAAAGCGCATCGAACATACTTCTTACCCTTTTCTAGGTTGAACACTATATTATGATGCAGAACAGCAACAGCATCTAAGGTGCTTCTTTTGCATCTGTAGGCAAACTGATACTGGTCAATGTGCTCTTTTATCGCAGGCTGAATTTAAAGTGTCAATAATTTTTCCATTGTTTTGAGAAATGGTGAAGTTATTGCCATGGGTCTAAATTTCACATTCTTATCACCAGATGCTTTCTTGGGTAAAGGGATTATCTTCATCTTTCTCCAAATTTTCGGTATGAGATTAGAAGAGAAGGATCTTTTAAAGATAGTAGTGAATGGATAGCATAGGACGTCAGCACAATTTTTTAAAAGAAGTGTAACGGAAAGAGAACGATGAAAATCCCTCCACAGCCTTTTTTGTTGGACAGTATTTCCATTTATTTGTTTCTTCTCTTGTCATATATCTTAACCTTTGTTCAGATCTCGTTTAAGCTTTTATTATGTGATTTTGATTAGAAACTTATCTTTTTGTTACCTAATTTTTTATTGCATATTGCCGGACTATTGACAGTGAGGTCGTGTTTGACTAAGCTCAAGGTCACGGCGTGATTCAGTGTGACTGTTAACCTTTTGACTGTCTGCTTGGGAGGATTTCTGGAATCCCTGCAGATAGATTTTTGATCCCGTTTGTTGGGAATATATTTGTTGATTCTCAGGTATCAAATTCTTTGGTATTGACTGTTTCTTTTATTGTTTAGCGCACTACTTTGCGTTAGAGAAACTTCTGACTGTATAGCACAGGCTGTACCGTTTGAGGTATTTTGTATTTTTGATATAATTTGTTCTATTTCTTAAATTAGAACCGTATAATTTGAGCACAGAATTTGTGTTTTGATATAATTTAATACGAGTGTCTCAAAAACGCTTGGCGTGCTATACGGAAAATCGTAGTCCGACCTATTCGAATACAATTTGGTTCGTCAGCCCTACGTTCAGCCCGAATACTGGTAGTTCGGTCGTAACAGTTCTCAAACGAACAGTAATTACTGGTAACAAACACTTCAATGCCTGGCAAGCGCAACAAGATCAGCGGAAACATGGTGTTGGGTCATGAAGAAATGCAGACAGAGGTGCCTCCTGATATACGGCAAGTCCCTTTTGATACATTTTCATGTCATGGCTCTAATACTAGTTTAGTTAGTAGGCATAGTAAAATTAGCTCTAGCATCACCCTTGCAGAGTTAAAAGAAAAGCAGTTGAAGGAAAGACAACTAATAGAGATTAGAGAGTTGAAAGATAGACAGAGGAAGCAGCTTTTATGCCTTCAGAGAGAGTTAGGGTCATTAAGACTAAAGGAGAACGTGTGTAGTCAAGCATCTTCTGCCTCCAACTGTGATGACAGAGGACAGGAGTATGTCCACAATTTCTCAAGCCGTTCTCGTGACCTTAGAACCAAGTCCCCAGAACGGTCAAAACGGTTAGAGCATTCAGGAACGAAGAAAAGGGAAGTGACCTTGGCATCTCTAAGTGTGGGTCTTGAGCTTCCAAAGGTTGAACTAAGTACTTTTGATGGTCAACCAGCCAAATATTGGAAATTTGTCAGACAATTTGATTTATACGTGGTATCAAAGGTCGAAGACGATGGTCAACGGCTCTTATACTTGTTACATTATTGTAAAGGAAAAGCTCGAGAGGCCATAGAAGAATGCTTAATGCTTCCGCCATCATCGGGTTATCGTAGAGCATGCGATATACTAAAACGATTGTTTGGTAGAACACACGAAGTAAGCCGGGCTTTGCTAAATACCTTGACTGAAGGTTCCAATATAGAACACAACGATGGAGAAAGTCTATCTAGGTTAGCGATAAAGATGGAAAATTGTTCTATAGCCTTAGAACAAATGGATTATTCAGTGGATCTCAACTCTGTAGTAACTATAGAAAGTATAGTGAAGAAATTGCCCACGGCTTTACAGATGAAATGGGCCGAAACGGTCGGAAAGATAACGGCAAATGGTAGAGAGCCTACTTTCGCCGAGTTAACAGAATTTGTATCATATAGAGCAGAAATTTTACTCAGCAGATTCGGACAGATTGCAACAGCTAGTAAACGGGTTGTAAGCAGGGTGGCCTGTTCCACACAAGGATTGTCGTTCGGTAAAGTTGTTAGCAAGTCACCTTGTGTTATATGCGGAGAAAATCATAGGATTGATAAATGCTCCCATTTCTCTACATTAGCAGTCAACGATAAGTGGGCGAAAGCGAGAGAAAAAGGTTTGTGTTTTTGTTGTCTTAGAAGGGGACACAGATCTGTGGATTGTAAAGATCGCGTTGTGTGTACTATCGAAGATTGCCGGGATCGGCATCACCCATTGTTGCATAAACCTATTCAAGTTCAGGGTTGTTCGAGTGAGCGGTTGAAAGAAAGTCATTGTGGGTACACAAAGTCACTAAAAGAGGATGTTTTTCTTGGCTTAATCCCTGTACGCCTTAGAGCTGGGGATAAGGAAGTTTGTGGATATGCGTTTCTAGACAATGGCTCCGATACAACTTTAATCAAATCAAGTACCGTACGACTTTTAGGTTTGTCGTCAGACAGTACATCGATTACCATCAAAACAGTGAACGGAAATAAGTTAACAAGATCGATAACCAAAGCCTTTAAAGCCTACTCTTTAGGCGGAGACGAGTGTATATGTATTGAACAAGCTGTTGTAGTAGACGATTTGCCGGTGCATAGGCCAAGAATACCTGTGAAGGACAGTGCCAAAAAATGGTCACATCTTATGGACTTACCTTGGTTAGAATTGGTGGGTGGTGAAGTTATGTTGCTTATTGGTTGTGATGTGCCTGAAGCGCATTGGGCCCTGGACCAAAGGTTAGGTGAAAGAAAGAGTCCTTATGCTGTTAGAACACTGCTAGGATGGGTTCTTTTTGGACCAGCAGGTCACAACAAACAGGAGGAAAGGATTGTAAATCATATTTCTCAAATTGATGCCCCTGTAGAGCATAGCTATGAGTTAGCTGACGACTATTCCTCTGACAAATCATTGTCTCTGAATGATTCAAACGTAAGTAGCATAGTAGAGCGCGATGCTTATTTTGATGAAAGTTACAAAATTGCTCCTTTACCTAGAGGAGTTGCTGAGAAAAACGTTGCTGCCTTTGTAATCAACAATGGGTCTGGTATCTGTAAAGCTGGCTTCGCCGAAGACGACGCTTCAAGAGCCGTATCCTTTATTGTTGGAGGAACTGGACATCAAGGAGTGATGATGAGGATGGATCAAAAGGACAGTTATGTGGGAGACGATGCTCGATCGAAACGTGGTATCCTGACACTGAAGCACCAAATTGAACATGGTATTGTGACTAAGTGGGGTGATATGGAGAAGACATTTTACCATGCATTCTACGACGAGTTGCGAGCGGCAACAGAGGAACATCCAGTGTTGTTGACAGAAGCTTCATTGAACCCGAAAGCAAACCGTGAGATGACACGGATCATGTTTGCGACTTTTAATGCACCAGCTATGTATGTTGCTATTCAAGCGGTGTTGTCACTGTATGCGTCTGGTCGTACAACTGGTATAGTGTTGGACTCAGGTGAGGGTGTGACTTACACAGTTCCAATTTATGAAGGTTATGCATTGCCTTATGTTATTTCGCGTCTGGGCCTTGCTGGTAGAGATCTTACCGACTTTATGATGAAGATCCTGACTGAGACAGATTGCAGTTCCTCTGTTTATTTGTGGAACATACTTAAGCGCAAACCTCCGGACAACGTTTTGTTTTATAGTAAGTTACTAGTTTTAGTGAGAAGGAGAACCTATTGGGAAGCTGCGAATGCTTTGATTCCTGGAAGGGGCCGAATAGCAGCAGACTATAGGTTAGGTTTATGGATGTACAGGCGTACTGTTGTAAGTCCTGTGCTCCCCATTGATGTAGAGCAGTTAGTAAGGAGAGCCATGACAGGAATGTATTCTAAGGTGTCTTTGCGTAGCTGGAGGGATTTTGGGGGCCGGTGTAACGGAAAGAGAACGATGAAAATCCCTCCACAGCCTTTTTTGTTGGACAGTATTTCCATTTATTTGTTTCTTCTCTTGTCATATATCTTAACCTTTGTTCAGATCTCGTTTAAGCTTTTATTATGTGATTTTGATTAGAAACTTATCTTTTTGTTACCTAATTTTTTATTGCGTATTGCCGGACTATTGACAGTGAGGTCGTGTTTGACTAAGCTCAAGGTCACGGCGTGATTCAGTGTGACTGTTAACCTTTTGACTGTCTGCTTGGGAGGATTTCTGGAATCCCTGCAGATAGATTTTTGATCCCGTTTGTTGGGAATATATTTGTTGATTCTCAGGTATCAAATTCTTTGGTATTGACTGTTTCTTTTATTGTTTAGCGCACTACTTTGCGTTAGAGAAACTTCTGACTGTATAACACAGGCTGTACCGTTTGAGGTATTTTGTATTTTTGATATAATTTGTTCTATTTCTTAAATTAGAACCGTATAATTTGAGCACAGAATTTGTGTTTTGATATAATTTAATACGAGTGTCTCAAAAACGCTTGGCGTGCTATACAGAAAATCGTAGTCTGACCTATTCGAATACAATTTGGTTCGTCAGCCCTACGTTCAGCCCGAATACTGGTAGTTCGGTCGTAACAGTTCTCAAACGAACAGTAATTACTGGTAACAAACACTTCAATGCCTGGCAAGCGCAACAAGCTCAGCGGAAACATGGTGTTGGGTCATGAAGAAATGCAGACAGAGGTGCCTCCTGATATACGGCAAGTCCCTTTTGATACATTTTCATGTCATGGCTCTAATACTAGTTTAGTTAGTAAGCATAGTAAAATTAGCTCTAGCATCACCCTTGCAGAGTTAAAAGAAAAGCAGTTGAAGGAAAGACAACTAATAGAGATTAGAGAGTTGAAAGATAGACAGAGGAAGCAGCTTTTATGCCTTCAGAGAGAGTTAGGGTCATTAAGACTAAAGGAGAACGTGTGTAGTCAAACATCTTCTGCCTCCAACTGTGATGACAGAGGACAGGAGTATGTCCAAAATTTCTCAAGCCGTTCTCGTGACCTTAGAACCAAGTCCCCAGAACGGTCAAAACGGTTAGAGCATTCAGGAACGAAGAAAAGGGAAGTGACCTTGGCATCTCTAAGTGTGGGTCTTGAGCTTCCAAAGGTTGAACCAAGTACTTTTGATGGTCAACCAGCCAAATATTGGAAATTTGTCAGACAATTTGATTTATACGTGGTATCAAAGGTCGAAGACGATGGTCAACGGCTCTTATACTTGTTACATTATTGTAAAGGAAAAGCTCGAGAGGCCATAGAAGAATGCTTAATGCTTCCGCCATCATCGGGTTATCGTAGAGCATGCGATATACTAAAACGATTGTTTGGTAGAACACACGAAGTAAGCCGGGCTTTGCTAAATACCTTGACTGAAGGTTCCAATATAGAACACAACGATGGAGAAAGTCTATCTAGGTTAGCGATAAAGATGGAAAATTGTTCTATAGCCTTAGAACAAATGGATTATTCAGTGGATCTCAACTCTGTAGTAACTATAGAAAGTATAGTGAAGAAATTGCCCACGGCTTTACAGATGAAATGGGCCGAAACGGTCGGAAAGATAACGGCAAATGGTAGAGAGCCTACTTTCGCCGAGTTAACAGAATTTGTATCATATAGAGCAGAAATTTTACTCAGCAGATTCGGACAGATTGCAACAGCTAGTAAACGGGTTGTAAGCAGGGTGGCCTGTTCCACACAAGGATTGTCGTTCGGTAAAGTTGTTAGCAAGTCACCTTGTGTTATATGCGGAGAAAATCATAGGATTGATAAATGCTCCCATTTCTCTACATTAGCAGTCAACGATAAGTGGGCGAAAGCAAGAGAAAAGGGTTTGTGTTTTTGTTGTCTTAGAAGGGGACACAGATCTGTGGATTGTAAAGATCGCGTTGTGTGTACTATCGAAGATTGCCGGGATCGGCATCACCCATTGTTGCATAAACCTATTCAAGTTCAGGGTTGTTCGAGTGAGCGGTTGAAAGAAAGTCATTGTGGGTACACAAAGTCACTAAAAGAGGATGTTTTTCTTGGCTTAATCCCTGTACGCCTTAGAGCTGGGGATAAGGAAGTTTGTGGATATGCGTTTCTAGACAATGGCTCCGATACAACTTTAATCAAGTCCAGTACCGTACGACTTTTAGGTTTGTCGTCAGACAGTACATCGATTACCATCAAAACAGTGAACGGAAATAAGTTAACAAGATCGATAACCAAAGCCTTTAAAGCCTACTCTTTAGGCGGAGACGAGTGTATATGTATTGAACAAGCTGTTGTAGTAGACGATTTGCCGGTGCATAGGCCAAGAATACCTGTGAAGGACAGTGCCAAAAAATGGTCACATCTTATGGACTTACCTTGGTTAGAATTGGTGGGTGGTGAAGTTATGTTGCTTATTGGTTGTGATGTGCCTGAAGCGCATTGGGCCCTGGACCAAAGGTTAGGTGAAAGAAAGAGTCCTTATGCTGTTAGAACACTGCTAGGATGGGTTCTTTTTGGACCAGCAGGTCACAACAAACAGGAGGAAAGGATTGTAAATCATATTTCTCAAATTGATGCCCCTGTAGAGCATAGCTATGAGTTAGCTGACGACTATTCCTCTGACAAATCATTGTCTCTGAATGATTCAAACGTAAGTAGCATAGTAGAGCGCGATGCTTATTTTGATGAAAGTTACAAAATTGCTCCTTTACCTAGAGGAGTTGCTGAGAAAAACGTTGCTGCCTCTGTAATCAACAATGGGTCTGGTATCTGTAAAGCTGGCTTCGCCGAAGACGACGCTTCAAGAGCCGTATCCTTTATTGTTGGAGGAACTGGACATCAAGGAGTGATGATGAGGATGGATCAAAAGGACAGTTATGTGGGAGACGATGCTCGATCGAAACGTGGTATCCTGACACTGAAGCACCAAATTGAACATGGTATTGTGACTAAGTGGGGTGATATGGAGAAGACATTTTACCATGCATTCTACGACGAGTTGCGAGCGGCAACAGAGGAACATCCAGTGTTGTTGACAGAAGCTTCATTGAACCCGAAAGCAAACCGTGAGATGACACGGATCATGTTTGCGACTTTTAATGCACCAGCTATGTATGTTGCTATTCAAGCGGTGTTGTCACTGTATGCGTCTGGTCGTACAACTGGTATAGTGTTGGACTCAGGTGAGGGTGTGACTTACACAGTTCCAATTTATGAAGGTTATGCATTGCCTTATGTTATTTCGCGTCTGGGCCTTGCTGGTAGAGATCTTACCGACTTTATGATGAAGATCCTGACTGAGACAGATTGCAGTTCCTCTGTTTATTTGTGGAACATACTTAAGCGCAAACCTCCGGACAACGTTTTGTTTTATAGTAAGTTACTAGTTTTAGTGAGAAGGAGAACCTATTGGGAAGCTGCGAATGCTTTGATTCCTGGAAGGGGCCGAATAGCAGCAGACTATAGGTTAGGTTTATGGATGTACAGGCGTACTGTTGTAAGTCCTGTGCTCCCCATTGATGTAGAGCAGTTAGTAAGGAGAGCCATGACAGGAATGTATTCTAAGGTGTCTTTGCGTAGCTGGAGGGATTTTGGGGGCCGGTGTAACGGAAAGAGAACGATGAAAATCCCTCCACAGCCTTTTTTGTTGGACAGTATTTCCATTTATTTGTTTCTTCTCTTGTCATATATCTTAACCTTTGTTCAGATCTCGTTTAAGCTTTTATTATGTGATTTTGATTAGAAACTTATCTTTTTGTTACCTAATTTTTTATTGCGTATTGCCGGACTATTGACAGTGAGGTCGTGTTTGACTAAGCTCAAGGTCACGGCGTGATTCAGTGTGACTGTTAACCTTTTGACTGTCTGCTTGGGAGGATTTCTGGAATCCCTGCAGATAGATTTTTGATCCCGTTTGTTGGGAATATATTTGTTGATTCTCAGGTATCAAATTCTTTGGTATTGACTGTTTCTTTTATTGTTTAGCGCACTACTTTGCGTTAGAGAAACTTCTGACTGTATAGCACAGGCTGTACCGTTTGAGGTATTTTGTATTTTTGATATAATTTGTTCTATTTCTTAAATTAGAACCGTATAATTTGAGCACAGAATTTGTGTTTTGATATAATTTAATACGAGTGTCTCAAAAACGCTTGGCGTGCTATACAGAAAATCGTAGTCTGACCTATTCGAATACAATTTGGTTCGTCAGCCCTACGTTCAGCCCGAATACTGGTAGTTCGGTCGTAACAAGAAGTTTGGGATACCATCAGGTCCCAAACATCGGGATGAATTTAGTGACTTCAGACATTTTCGGACATAAGTTTCAGTGAAACTAGGAACACAGCTATTTTTGAAACCCGTGAATAAAGGGAGCATCACATCAGATGACTGACGTAAAAAGGACTTATTTAAGTCACAAATATCCAGCTGGTTATCGGTCCTAATCTGTCTGTCACCTGTAAATTCTTTAAATAGTTTCCACATACTTGAAGAGTCTTTACAAGACAATAATTTTTGAGTAAACATAGTGTTGAGACGACTAATCTCGAGGTTTATCAGACCATTTAGTTTCAGTGGGACAACAAATATCAAAACGGAATTTAAGGTAACAAGTGATAACATCAGAAGTGATTTCCAGTGAGTCATCTGTGAATAATATTCAGTTAGTCGTATGAAACATATTTTTCAGATTTCGGATATTTTCTTCTGAGTAATTCCTATATTTGACTTTCTTGGTTTGATTTAGGAGTGTACTATTCCCATGCTTTCCATATATTTTAGGTAGAACACGAATTATACAGTGATCCGAGCTAGGCAATAGGGCACGTTTACGGGTCACATATATACCTAAATGAGCATCTTGTCAATTAATGATCGTAGTTAGAATTTAGCAACTCGGGAATCGACATACGATTATTGTTCATTCTCTTTAACGCATATTGCCAACCACCGCGATGTCTTTTATTGTAGTTTTTTGTAAATTGTGCAGCGAAAGGTCGTAGGATTTTCAGAAACGCGCCTGTATAGGTTATGCGATTAGTGGACATAATGAGAGGTTAAAACAAGAAGGAAAAAAACAGATAACTTGTTGAAATAACTAGATGGCAGAAACAGGTAGCTCAGATATTCAATCAGGCCGCCGAGATTATTATTTTGCGTAATTGAGAATATTGAATTGAGTTTAAAGAAGGAAAGGAAGGAAATAAGGGAATAGAAATAAAGGAGACGTGGAATACGCAAGTAGTTTAATAAGCGTGTTCGTGAACACAGAATAAGAGTAAACGACTGTGCATGTGTCGTCAAACTAGTAACTAAAAAATAATTAGGAAAAAACAATATTATCGCAGTAAGATATGACATCACAATAAATGTTTGTGCAGTCATAGTTTGTAGTGATGCTATGAAAGTTTCAACTAGGTGAAAAGGATGATGAAATATCAATATGTATGAGTCATATATACATAATAATGATAAAAAGAGTGTGAAGAGTTAAGTTAAGTATAACACAATTTATTGTTTTAATTACAGACTTAATAAACTAAAGATTAATATTTGTTTAGAATAAAAAAAGCGAGATCGGGCATTGAACGAAAGAATAAGAAACTGAGAGTTATCATGGTGAAGCAGGTTAGAGTATAAATCACATTTGGTAGTTCCATGAATACTCGTAGGATTGGCTAAGGTAAGAGTTGTGTTGCGAGGGGAAATAGATTCAACAACTCTGTCATCATTTGAAATATGTTTACCGTTGCAGACAGAAAAGCTGGAGGAATTACAATGAAAGTCTTCTCATTGCTATTGGACATAGCACCTGATAAAGGCATAGTGTACATATTGGGAGTCAGACCAAGAAGGCTATCAGGTCTATGTGTGCGACCAAGTGGCCATTACAATTCAGATTACTATTTATATCTGACGTATGGATAACATGTTCCAGACGTTTATTTCCGAGGTTTGTGGCTAATTTTGGCTCCTTCGTAATTTGGGGAGAATCGTGTGCTGTTAAACATACTTGCGATGGTTTGCAAGGTTCGAATATATCGACGTTAAGTGTTTGGTCAGTTATGTAAATGTTGTGATTAGTTTTCCCGTTATCCGTTACACAGTTACTGTAACTGGGTGTTGTATTAACAGGGATTTCGACTGTGTTATCCCATTCGTCATCAGCAAAGCTACTTCGGGTTGAATTCATGTTAACATTCTTAAGTGTGTCGGTAGTAGTGTTAAGTTGTATCGTTTTCCTACGTTTGGCTGGACGCCTAGAAGCAGGGGTCTTCATTTTTTTTCATGGCATGATAAGAAAGTGACGTATAGTAGATGGATTGAACAAAACGTTGGGAATAGAAATAGGTGAAAAAACCAATGCCGAGGGCCCGAGTTAGTCCAGAAATCAAAACCTATGTTTTAACCATGAGTGAATGTATCGTAGTTTTTGTGAAGGTGTCAAAAACAAGAGATGAGAATGGCAGGAAAATTGTAGTGGAGATGTAGTTTGTATGTCAGTATCTGTGTGGAGACAAAATAGAACATAAAGAAGCACGTTATGTAAATTTTAACATATATATTACACGGAAACATAGCCTCATATAATAAAGTAATTTAGTATCAAACAATCAAAGTGATTACGGTATGTGATTTATGTGTAAACTGAAAGTCCGCCGAGATAAGTAGTTTAAAAGATTATTACCGTCTAAGATTATTATGTTGCTTTATGAACAAATATATGAAACAGCTTTTTGGGTAAAAAATACTGTCAAAAAACTATAACACACTCACAGAATTGGACAGGTAATTTCGGAAATTAAACAAGTTATAGTATACAAATACGATTTAAATGATAGTTCATAAAATAGTGAGTACAGTGTTTTATCATACACGATTATATATATTTCTTGATATTAGGAGGAGGTCTGAATAGATTCCGTAAGTACATAAAGTACGTGAGTTATAGCATCCAAACACGATATAATTATATGTTCCTTAAGGAATAGAATACAGATATGAAATGCAATTCTTTGTCGAATATGATTATATATGGTCTTAAAAATAACAGAGCGCGGTTTGATCGTATAGCCAAAATGAATATATATGTAATTAAATGATTATGAATTATTGTGTGAATACGATCATAAATGCCATGAATAAATTAAACTCAGATCTTATCAAATAGCATGAAATTCACAGTTTATATGTTAATAGTTCAGAATTGAATTATCTTCCATAATTTCAATTCGCGCGCGTTCAAAAAGGGCAGAGATTTTGTATTTGTTGTGATTATCCTTGCTTTTGTGTGATTGTTGTGTCAAAAGCATTCTTGGTTTATATAAAGTACTTTATCAAGGCTTTAAATCTTGCTAAAGTTTGTCTTGTGATACCCTTTTACTCATTGACTGACACTAGTGTTCATACTGTGATAATATTGTGTTTTTACACCCTAATCTGACTAAAATGATTGGTAGTGCTCACAAATGTGTACAGCCACGCTGTTTATTCCCTGTGGAGGAAGGAATGAAGTATGATGAATGCAAAAGGTGGTTCCATAAGATGTGCACCCGTTTAAGTCCTACTGCATACAAAAGATGTTCGAAGCCTAACTCACATTGACTTTGCATGTTTTGCTGTGCAAATAAGATATTACTAATACAGAAGGCTATGAGCCTATTGGCTTTAGCCGTCAAGAAAAACGATAGCACATGCGCTGATAACACGAGCACTGACAGTGACGAATGTGTCAGTACCTGATGTTACAAGACGCCTCAAACACCCAACTTTGATTGACGGAAAAGTAAAATCTCCGTTAACATTAACAACGGAAGAAGTACCACCTGCCGCCGACATTGGTAACCATGCATCACTAGTGGATTTTTTTCTTCAAACTACTTAATAAACTTTCCTTTACATCCAATCATGTAATTCAATACGCAGAAACTCCTCATTATGAAACCCGTAATTCCTTGGCACTTGTGAAACAAACTTATTCTAAATCATCTCTTTATATGAGTTACTTTGCCTGTAAATTTTCTATACTCTGGAATAACCTACCACAACATATCCGTACGATAAAATCACTCCCATTATTTGTACGTTGCATCGATGCATATTGCTCCTCCGAAAAATGCATTGAATGCTCTAGCACCTGCAAGTGTATCTCACTCCACAAGTGTTATTATAGGAACTTTAAATGTTTAGGCATTTTTATTAGTGCATTCTCTGGATAAAACCACCAACTTGCTGTCACTTTATGTTAATACCGTCCCCAGCTAGTCTAACTAATTTGAATATCATCAACAGTATATCACTGTGTCACATGACATACGCATTTTGATAGATCTGATTGACATATTTCGGTAATTACTGCTTTGTTGTTCCGTGCTCTCTGTTTTCGTTTTCATTCTTCTAGTTGTAGATATTTATCATTAAATCGATCTGACACACGAAATGACCTTAATTTACACTGTTCATAAATCAACAGGCTGTCCAGTTAAGAAATATTACGTGTTCCCGGCTGATGCATTGGATCGCCGTAATACCTAAACAACTACTGAACTAATAAACTTAAGACTCATATCACATGTTTGTTCTGTATATATTATGATATTATTTATATCAAATTGATCATGCCTGTAAACTGGCGTGAATTCTGTAATTATCATTTTTTCAGAATATAAATTATTATTATTATTAAACTGAAGATCTGAGTAAGATCGTCACCGTTCCAAATAGTCCTGATGTCCTGAGGGATGAAAAATGGACTACAGTACGGAAGAAACGAAACAAGAAGAAAAAAGCTCTGAGCAGTACGCAGGTGGTTAGCAAGTCATTGATGGACTCCCATTGTGAGTCACAAAAGGCACTACCAAAAGAAGAATCTAATATCATCTAATATTATTGTAAGCAAATTGCTGGAGTCAAACGATCTTGATCCCAAAATTAGACACGCGCATGGTTTAGAGAAGCTGAGAGAACATATTCGTAGTATCTTACCAGATAACTCCAAAGGAGTTCAGGTAAAAAGGCTGATTAGAATAGGCACGAGTTCTGATAACAATGCTGAACCTCGACCATGCAGACTCCCAAAGGTAATCCAAGGATCAGAGAAGCAAT